ACCCACCGAATTGCCTCAATGCCTCGTTCGTTGGGAACATACCCTGCAGCATGCAGCATCTGCGACAGGTGGACCAATTGGTCGCGAGTGAAACCATCAACGGCTGAGTCGCCGCAGATTTCTCTGACCTTCTCAATCCATTGCTCGGCATCTTGAATGTCGTAGCTGTGCAATGTCAACTTCTGGTCAGGTGGTACTTCAGCTGCTGGACGTACTTCGATGCACGGAGGCAAAGGGCTTGTGAAAATGTTGAACGGTTGCTGGGAACGGCTGCCATGCGAATGTTGCTGTGGTGGTGTTTTGGATGTTTTTGGAGGGGGTGGTGGAGGTGGTGTGGGACGTGGTCCTGCACTTGTTGGGCCCATTGGGCGCATTGTCAGCGCCACTCTCTGAAATTGTTGACGAAGGATGTTGGCCGGTTGCAGCCTGATGCGTGGAGTGGGGGACCGGCTCGTCCTTGGCGATGGTGACCTGCTGCTGCTGGGACTTGGGGTCCTTCGTCGGGAGTCACGTCTTCTTCTGGCGCGGGCAGAATGTGACAAAGACCGGCTGGGTGTGGAACGGGATCTGCTATGGTGGCGTTGGTGCCGGCGTCTCCGCGGTGCTGAGTGTCGTCGGGTGGATCGTTGGGTGCGTCTCTGCGCCGACCTGCGCTGTTGTGATCTGTTGGTTCGGCGGTGTCTGGATAGTGGAGTGCGGGAGCGGTGCGTGCGAGATGGGCTCTGATGCTGTTTGTGGATGGTTGGAGTGGGATTGTGTGTGGGTCCGGGTGTGGGGATGCTTTGAGCTGTGGTCGTAGTTGCTTGGGTGGAGTCGGGGTTTGGGTGATAAGCGGGTGATGGGTGTGGTGGTGTAATGTAATTGTAAGGTGCTGCTGGACCAGTGGCTTTTGCAGGGTTGGTGTTGTGTGTCACTGGGGGATTGTTTGCTGGGCCAGTGAGGTTTGCAGCGTTAGGACTGTGTGTCGATGGAGGATTGTTTGCTTGGCTAGTGACTGTTGTAGGGTTGGGGCTGTGTGTCACTGATGGGTTGTTTGTTTGCTGAGGTGATGTACCTGGTTGTACTAAAGGCGGTTGTCCGCCATGCTGGAAAGGAACTGGGGGAGGCGGCAAAAGTGGTTGGGGTAGGGCCGCTGGGGGATTGTGTGCTTGGTGATTTGCTATGCCCGGGTGTGTGAACGGCGGCTGTGTGCCGTGCTGGACAGGAATTGGGGCAGACTGCAAAGGTGGTTGGGGTGGGGCCGCAAAAGGGTTTGTGGGTGCTGTGGGTGCCGGCATAGGGAATGTTGTGTCGAAGGAGTATTGTGGTGGTGTTGGAAGTGGTGGGTATTGTTGTTGTGGTTGAGGAATCAGGTGGTGAGTGGGCTGCTGTGTAACGTTGGGAATGGTCATTGCTGGGTTTGTCGCGTAGAATGGAGGGCCGGGTTGCTGTGGCTGAAAGTGCGTCTGCTGAGGTTGTGGTTGCTGAAGTGGCGGATGCTGAAATTGCAACGGTTGTTGCATGGGCGCAGCAAGCGCGTGTCCGTGCGTCCATGGCGCTGCTGGGTGATACACTGGTGGTGGTGCACCGAAAGTTGCTGTCGGCCACAGTTGTGGCGACGCACCGGCTGGTGCTGGCATTGCTGCTTGCATCGGAAGCTGTGCCATAGGGTGAAACTGCATCATTAGCGTTAGTAACACACACCGAAGCTTGTGCACTGCAGCTAGTGTCCGGTCACAGTGCGAAAATCATAGCTGGGTCACTTGCAGTCCCTTTACCCTAATGCAA